CGCACACACACACACACACACACACACACACACACACACACACACACACACACACAWACACACTGCAAYAGAGGTAAAGCTGCATGGATTTTCGATCTACTCATCTAGGTGGAATAGGGGCTGTTGTGGTGAAAATCTACAACACTCACACTCACACGCTCAGCGAAAGTCTGACGCAGTCTGGCACAGTGATGCTTTCTTTGTGGAGTTGGATATAGCGAACGCGACAACACACACACACACACGCACACTCACACTCACACTCACACTTGCACTCACACCCGCACTCACACTCACACTCACACCCACACTCACACCCACACCCACACCCACACCCACACCCACACTCACACCCACACTCACACCCACACTCACACTCACACTCAGTGAAAGTCTGATGAAACAGTACACACTGCACAGTGATGCTTTTTTTCTGTGGAGCTGTGCATAGTGAACATGACAACACACACTGGCACACTTACACACTCACACTCACACTCACACTAGCACACCCACACACTCACGCACCCACACACCCACACACTCGCACTCGTACAACACACATGCACAGGACAATCACTGCGACTTTGTCTCAAGTTGGCACTGCTCTTGTCCCGTTCGCATTGCAGGCTCAACAATTTGTGCTCAAAGCCACAGCTGCTTCTTGGACAGATCAGAGTCATGGCCAGGATAAATGAAATTGGATAATGTGGAAGGGGAAGCAAAGCGATAAGAAAAGGAGGAGGACACCTTTTCCTATTTTGAAAACACAAATTCACAACACGTCGACAATGGGGAAGACCAAGAGAGCAACGTTATACTTCACATTTTCCACCAGGGTAGAGGGAGATGTCCATATCCATGGCCAAGTTGTACTAAATATGAATTCAATAGCCTGTTGAATGCGGTGCGTTCATCAACCACTGAAGCACGAATCAACCTGCATACCTGTGGATGGCCCATGAGCCTTGCATTGTGCTTCAACACCTGCCAGGAGCGCAGGATGCACTGCTCACCCTCCAGCTTCCTCCTCTTGTGAAAGTTAATCTTCGCACAAACAAGTAGCGCTTTGCCCACCTGTCCCCAAGTGAGAAGAAACAACCACACAACCACACACACACGAAACCAGATGCGAGCAAAATAAGCATTGTTGCCGATCCTCTGTGCTCAGTTAGACCACCGCTTCCCCCGACAGTCGAAAACTGGCTTCCGGGGACCTTTGAAAGCCGGTACGCCCGGAGGGAGCGGAGGTCCGGCAGCATTAAAAAAAACAAAAAGAAAGAGGCACAACTTTGGCGCTTTTTCGCGCTCAGATAAATGCACAGAAAAATCGGAAGTTTTGAGATCCAATAGATTATGTCCCATTCTTTCTAGGAAACATATCCGAGACATGACCAAAAAAAATTGGTGTCACATAAATCGCGCCGATTCACCACATTTTTCATCTTCCCGCTGCCACTAGGGAAAACGTACTCCAAAGTCAGCGATTTTCATGCTCAGAAGAACGCATCAAATCTAAAAGTCCAAGGGTTAAAAAAAAAATCAAAAACAAATTGTTTCAACTGCGAAATAAATTGCGTTGGCCCGGCGCATTTTCCGTTGATGTCACTCTACCGGTTCTCCACACTACGCAATCGGTACAATCGGTAACCCTCATGAACCTGTGCTACTGGCCTGCCTGCCGTTGAAATGGTGGTTTAACTGACTTGGGTAAAACTGACTTGACTCAGTTGACTGGCACATTCCTCACAGGAAAGGAGGCTAAGTATATCGCCTCCACTTCCAGAAACAAATTGCTAAAGAGCCGAGCCCACCACAGACATACGATGCTACCATTCCTCTGAGGCATAGACAATGTCATCTACAAGTACTCCGTTTTCCAGCAGGTGATGCTCCCCACCAATAGACGGAGCCTCTCCCTAGGTGTTAGTGGTGTC